ATACAGCTAGAGATTCACACACACACACACACACACACACACACACACACACACACACACACACATAATTATCATTTTGCTGCAGTGCGTGTGTGTATTTATTATTATTATTGTTGTTGTTGTATTTTGCCTACTTGTTGTTACAGTGTGAATCTGAGAGATTTCAGAAGGGCACAGACCATGACTTTTGCCATTGAGGAGATTAACCGAAGTGAAAGTTTGCTTCCAAATGTTTCTATTGGCTACAGAATCTATGATACTTGTGGTTCAAGACTCTCTTCTATGAGTGCAACTATGGCATTGATGAATGGTCATAATGTTGCAGCAGGAGACACATACATATGCAAACATCCTCCGATACATGCTATCATTGGAGAAACAGAGTCTTCTACTACAGTGATTCTGTCCAGAACTACAGGACCTTTTAAAATTCCAGTGGTAAGGGGCAATAACACTAAATACATTCCACTATCTTCATGCACATTACTGTTTCACTGTTTCCTGTGCTTTCTTTTTCAGATAAGTCACTCAGCCACATGTGAATGCCTCAGTAATAGGAAAGATTACCCCTTTTTCTTCAGGACTATTGCTAGTGACTACCACCAGAGCAGAGCACTTGCATACATAGTCAAGCACTTAGGCTGGTCTTGGGTTGGAACTGTGAATACTGATAATGACTATGGAAACAATGGCATGGCAATATTTCTCAATACAGCCCAGGAGGAGGGGATTTGTGTGGAGTACTCTGTAAAATTCTACCGAACAGAGCCTGACAAACTCCAAAAAGTGGTAGAGACAATTAAAAAAAGCACAGCAAAAGTGATTGTTGCATTTCTTACCAGTTACGAGATGTACAACCTACTTGAACATCTAAGTATTCAAAACATTACAGGTCTCCAGATGATTGGTGTGGAAGCATGGATAACAGCAAAGCGTTTGATCACTCCAAACAGTTTTCATGTACTGGGAGGGTCACTGGGTTTTGCGGTGAGAAAAATTGATATTGAAGGTTTTGAAGATTATGTTACAAAAGTATTCTGGGAAACAGCGTTTCCATGCTTACACACTGAGGGAAATTCTTCTCAATATGCATTAAATTGCAACATATATCGGGATCTGCTTGTGCTAAAAAACTTCAGTGATGATGTGCCTGAACAAAGATATGCAAGTAACGTCTACAACGCAGTTTATGCTGTTGCTCATTCATTACACAGTCTACTCAAGTGCAAAGAAGGTTGTGAAAAAGATCTGTTAATACAACCACAGCAGGTAATATAATTTTAAAAAGAGAGCGGTAGACAGATGGAACATAAGAACAAGAGAATAAACCATTTCTGTTTAAATGTGTTAAAATGCTTTTTTTTTTCTCAATAGGTAGCTGAGGCTCTAAAAAAAGTTAATTTCACTGTAAAGATGGGAGATAATGTGTGGTTTGACAGCACTGGTGGCGTAATAGCCCAATACGAAGTCATAAACTGGCAGCAGGACTCTGATGGATCAGTCCAGTTTAAACCAGTGGGATACTATGATGCCTCACTGCCCCCTGACCAGCGCTTTTTGCTTAATGCGGAAAACATAATCTGGGTTGGAGGACAGCTGGAGGTAAATGGCACTAAATTGTTTATTCTAAAGAGTTTTTTTTTTTTTGTTAACTTATGAAGTAAAATATATACTTAAATTGACCAATAAAAAGAAAATAAAGCACAACGCAAGTGTAATTTTAACAGAAAAAAAACCCTTGGCACTGTATCTGTTTAAATTCAGGACAGAAAAGTCCAAACGACAAAACCATTTACACATTTATATAATTCCACATTAGTTTGAAAAAGCTAATATGACTAACATCTTGAATAATCAAATGAATATTGAAAGAAATATTGCTTATTGGCACTGGAAATTGTGTTTAATTTCTGTAACAGCACTTTTATTAGATTTTTGTCCAAATGGTTTATTGCCTAAATTATGAAATACTCTTTTATCAATAATACTGGTGAATGTATTTTTGTTCTTAAGAGTCAGTTAAATATCACTATGTATGCTATTTAAAAATATATACTGTATTTTTACATGTAGAAGCCGAGGTCTCTGTGCAGTGAGAGCTGTCCTCCAGGCACTAGGAAGGCTACACAAAAAGGAAGACCTGTCTGCTGTTATGACTGTATTCCATGTGCAGAAGGAGAAATCAGTAATGAGACAGGTAACCTACAGCCCATCTCACATTTCCAAAGAAAACTGGTTAGTTGTTCATTATGTATTCTTCATCTACTATTCAGGGTGCAGTATATTATCGAAGGAGTTAATAAATAATAAATAAACCATTTTCCTTTTGTCTCTAACTAGTAATCGCAACTTCCTTTCCAGATTCAAATAACTGCAGGCAGTGTCCAGGGGAATACTGGTCTAATGCTGAGAAAAATAAATGTGTGTTAAAGGCTGTAGAGTTTCTCTCATTCACAGAAGTTATGGGTATAGTGCTAGCCAAGGTCTGTGTGCAGTGAGAGCTGTCCTCCAGGCACTAGGAAGGCTACACAAAAAGGAAGACCTGTCTGCTGTTATGACTGTATTCCATGTGCAGAAGGAGAAATCAGTAATGAGACGGGTAATCTTCAGGCCATCTTCCAGCTTCTACAGTTTCTGCATGCAGTGAATTAGCAAAGGACTTCATAAGTAAAACCAATATATTTTTGTTTATACTGTAATGATCACATTTTCCTTTCCAGATTCAAATGACTGCAAGCAGTGTCCAGGGGAATACTGGTCTAATGCTGAGAAAAATAAATGTGTGTTAAAGGCTGTAGAGTTTCTCTCATTCACAGAAGTTATGGGTATAGTGCTAGTCTTTTTCTCACTGTTTGGAGCAGGATTAACTACCCTGATGGCCATCCTGTTTTACAGTAAGAAGGACACCCCCATAGTAAAAGCCAACAACTCAGAGTTGAGCTTCCTGCTGCTCTTCTCATTGTCTCTGTGTTTCCTCTGTTCACTTACTTTCATTGGTCGGCCCACTGAGTGGTCCTGTATGTTGCGTCACACAGCATTTGGGATCACTTTTGTCCTCTGTATCTCCTGTGTTCTGGGGAAAACAATAGTGGTGTTAATGGCCTTCAAGGCTACACTTCCAGGAAGTAATGTCATGAAATGGTTTGGGCCTGCACAACAACGACTCAGTGTTCTTGCCTTTACACTTATACAGGTTCTTATCTGTGTGCTTTGGCTAACAATATCTCCTCCTTTTCCCTACAAAAATATGAAATATTATCATGAAAAGATCATTCTTGAATGTAGTCTGGGTTCTACTACAGGTTTCTCTGCTGTGCTGGGTTATATTGGCCTACTGGCTGTTTTGTGCTTTATTTTAGCTTTTCTGGCTCGGACTCTGCCTGATAATTTCAATGAAGCTAAATTCATCACATTCAGTATGCTCATATTCTGTGCTGTATGGATCACATTTATCCCAGCTTATGTCAGTTCTCCTGGAAAAGTTACTGTAGCTGTGGAGATATTTGCCATTTTAGCTTCAAGCTTCGGTTTACTATTTTGCATATTTTCACCAAAATGTTATATTATGCTGTTTAAACCTGAACAAAATACAAAACAACATATGATGGGAAAGGTTCCATCCAAGTCCTACTGAGAGAGAGAGATGTCTATATTAACATTGGATCATGTTGTTGTTATGGATTTTCTTTCCAATAACAATTTTAAAACATTTACAAATAAATTGATTAAAAATCAATAAACCATTATACTTTTATAGCTTTGTAAATAATTTCAATAACAAACATACAAATGTAGGTTACATTACTACATCTCTAAAAGATTTGTTATCCAAAACAGAGGCTAAACAGAATGTGTACATGATTACAAGGTGTACAAGGTTTTCTCTGTAAATTATTTATTAGCTTATCACAGAATAATTACAGTTCTAGAATAAACGTGTTAGAGTTTCAGATTCAGAATTACAAAAAGAACATTGTGGTGAGATGTATTCTTTAAACTTATTAAGAAAAGCATTACAGGGATAACATCTATGCAATATTTTAAAATGAATTCCTTTTACCTTATTTGGCAACAAACTTGTTAATGGTTGACCATATTTTATCAGTGGAAGGTATAGAAAACAAATGTTTCCATTTTCACAAGTGGCTTTGGATAACAACTGATATCTTGAGTAACATGCTTTCTGATGTAAGAATTATCACAATTTTTATCCAAAATATGAATACCTCCAATAACAAGCTTTGGAATCTGCCGGTCAATTGAGTTGTGACTGAGATTTCACAAGGTGAAGCAATTTGGTGAAGCAGAGATGATTTTCACAACAAATTGTAATCTCCAAACAAAGACTCAATTCCTCAGAAAATAAAAAATACTGATGAATATAAATCTCACTATTACTATGTAGCGTCTGGACCAATCAGACACACAATATATATTTTGTTAGTTATATTTAACAAATACTCTATAACCCCCCCCAGTTAACAAGCCATATGAGGGC